TTTGAACGACCAACAATGTACGGTCGCAACCTTCTACAACAACGGAACTCCACAATGCTCTATAATGAAAACTGTGTATGTCACCGGTTATGCAGATCCGTCTCTAAGCTCGATGTCATTTGTTAAGAGATGCTCGGGTCCATTTGCAGTCAACCCTGGCCTCACGGAAACAAATTCGTCTCCCTCCAAACCGGCTCCTGGACTCTGCATTCGGTGTCTAATAGGAGCTTCGTCAGGCACCCTTTTTATGTTTGCCGTGCTCCAGATTGCAATTGGATTCTACATCTACAGAAGAAGAAGCTCTACCAGTAAAATGGTCACTTCATCTTTGGAATTCCCAAACTCAAATGGCTTAGTTGTCTTGTCATTTTCGGAAATTAAGAACCTCACAGGGGATTTCAAGAGTCAGATTGGGCCGAAGATGTTCAAGGGCATCCTACCAAACAATCACCCAGTTGCAGTAAAAGACCTGAATGCATACATCGAAGAAAGGAAGTTCCGGAGTGCTGTTATGAAGATAGGGAGCATCCACCACAGAAACCTCATGAAGCTGGAGGGTTATTGTTGCGAGTTTGACCACAGATTCTTGGTGTATGAATACGCCAAGCACGGTTCATTGGACAAGTACATAGTTGATGCTGCTCTTTGCAGGAAGCTAACCTGGAGAAAGAGAATTGAAATCTGCTCAAGTGTAGCAAAGGCCATAAGTTACTTGCATTCTGGTTGTAGGGAGTTCATAAGTCATGGAAACCTGAAATGCGAAAATGTCATGTTGGATGAGAACTTTGCAGCCAAGGTTGCTGAATTTGGGTTCACAAGAGTAGGTGGTGTGGCAACATATTGTAGTTGTTCAGCCGAGAAGGACATGGAGGATTTTGGCAAGTTAGTATTGACCTTGCTGACAGGGCGCCACAATGATGCTGAACTTTGCGAGTGGGCGTATAAAGAATGGATGGAAGAAAGGGTGACTAATGTGGTTGATAGAAGGATGGAAGGGAGTTACAATCCGGATGAAGCCGAGCGAGCATTGAGAATCGCATTCTGGTGCCTTCAAGTGGATGATCGGCGAAGACCTTCGATGGCGGAGGTACTAAGAGTACTTGATGGTACTTTAAGTGTTGATCCTCCACCACCCCCATTTGAGTATCCTCATAGGCAATTATTGCTGGAAGATGATGATGATTCACAAGAAACTTAGTGATGAATTCCAGGTCAATTTGTAGGAAATTTTGTTCTTTTTGTTGCCTTCATATTTGATGTGTATAGTAGGACTAACTTGCTAGTTGAGAAAATAGCAATGCTCATTGTTTTTGGTCTCTTAGAATGAAGCAGAGATTGTAAACTGTGATGACAATGTTATTATAATTCATTTGAGATTCTTGGGCCTTTACCTTAAATCATAACTTGAGATCACATACTTAAAGAATAGTCTTTTTTTGGGGAATATCTGTAGTTCTGGTCATCAGATTTGGATGGCTATGTTGAAAATCTTTGAATAGTTCATTCAATGTCAAGCTTCACTTTTGAAGCATCTAAAATAAATTATTTTAGACAGCCCCTAATACTAAGCATTGCATTACAAACTCGCGCACTATGCGCACTCACACACCCAACGTAGGATATGTAAAAATCACTTTTTGAATGACAATCAAGCTTACCAGATTGTAGTACATGCATCCAAAACCAAAAGTCCAAAACAGACATGATAACAGTTAGAGAGTACATTGGTTTGGGCTAACTTACAATCTTATGGATTTTGGTTCAATCCAATCAGAAAACTATGGATTGGTGTAGGTTTGTGAATTGGTTTGAATTCATCAATTCATGAAATGTTGGTTGGTAAAAACCCATTTAATCCATCCAATCCACCTAAAATTATAACATATCTTTCAATATGATAACGCTGATTTCAATTGGTTTATGTAGTTTATTGTCATTATATTTTTAGAATTTATATATGCTTTTTCAGAAAAGTATTTCATTGCCGATCACGAGACGAATATTTTTGCACTACTGTAAAAAAATTGATTACGGTATTGCAGGTTTGGAAGAAAAAAATATTTTAAAAAATTATATGTTTGGCAAAAATTGATACATAAAAAAGTATTTTTACATTTTTTTTTTGAAAAAAAAAAGTACTTTTACGTAAAATATCCAAACATTATTTTTTTTTTCAAAAAAATACTTTTAGAAATTCACCTAAACTGGTTGTTAATTGGTAGTTCCTGATAATGATCATTATATCTTAATAAATAGTCATTTAAGACATCAAGCCCGTCTAGCTCAGTCGGTAGAGCGCAAGGCTCTTAACCTTGTGGTCGTGGGTTCGAGCCCCACAGTGGGCGTTTAAGTTGTTTTTAATTTTTACCCATGGCCGTCTCTCTTTGACGAATGTGGTATCGAGGTTCGGTGCGTTTAAGTTGTTTTTAATTTTTACCCATGGCCGTCTCTCTTTGACGAATGTGGTATCGAGGTTCGGTTCATTTGGAAAAGAGGTCAGTCTTAGGGGAGACCATGCGAATGGTTAAATTGAATACACGTTTTATCATTAATCCCGGATGACACGTTTTAACTTAAGGCGTTGAAAGATAAATTCTTATACTAGTCTTTCTTTAGAGTAGGGGCTGAAAAGAGCTCTTTGTATAGATTGGGTTTGTTGGGCTTTGATGCTTACCTTATTATTATGAAAAGGGGAGATTTTGATAAAGGAGTTTTGAAGCCCTTTTGCTGAATTATTGGTCTGCAGCCCCGCCCTATAGAATGAATCAAATAAGGAGGGAGAGGCCCGGCAAACTTAAGTGAATTAAAATTCATGCTTAGTTTATGTGTTTAACCATAGCTCAAATTTTTTCCCCTTTGAAATTTGGTTTCGGTTTATAGAAACATGTTTCTAGGTTTCAGGAAAATTAGGTTCAGATTCCTAGAAAAGAATTTCACTTTCCTGTGATACAGGTTACACTAATGTCAGACATTTTTTCTTTAAAAATAATACTTTTTTAATAATCCACAAATAAAAACGTGTTATTCGAAAAATAAAGTTATGAAGTTCTTAATGTTATCAAATGCATATAAATTCGGTTTTTCTGAATTGTTTTATTTTTATACTCTTTACTAGTTTGTACATTTATAAGTAAAAAACCCGTAAACATTTGGCAAGAGCTATGGATATGAAATGTATCTTGAATAAAGATAGTGAACTTTTTTAAAAGTGTGTCTAAAAAAGGTGTGATTTAATTTGTACTATTAACATAAACACATATTTACACATGTTTACTGATTGATTATTAAGATATAAATTCCCTGTAAATATATTCATATTCAAATGCAGTAAATACATGCATCTAAAATGTTGAAATACAAAATTAAATATGACACATGGATGCTTATTACATATTTGTTCATTTCCTTAAACATGAGGTGATGCTAAATTTTGATTTATGGTTGAATACTGTTTTAATATATAAAAAAATTTATTTTTAATATATATTTTATATTTTGTTAGAAAGAGCTATGTATTAGAATTATATGAGAGTTTTGTATATCATAATATAATACACTAACCTATTTATAGGTGAAGAGAATCAGAATAATAATAACCTAATATTCTATAATTATGAGAAATATCAAACTAATAAATTCAAATATTATAACTGATACTAATTGATCCTAATATATTCTAATATCCCCTTCAAACTCAAGTATCAACTTGAGTTTGAAACTTATTTTTTTAAAAATAAATTGATGAAATTGTCGAAAGGAAATCCAAACAAAACTGCCATAGAGCGATCAGAACGGAGTGTAGACGGAACTGCCGGAGCGAGGTACAGACAGAACTGCCGAAACGAGGTGTAGACGAAACTGCCACGAAAAGATTGGCGAAACTGCCATGATGAGGTGGAGATGGAACTCCCACAAAGAGGTTGGCGAAACTGCCGAGGTGAAGACGTAACTCCCACAAATAGACTGGCGAAACTACCGAGATGGAGACGGAACTCCCACAAAGAGACTGACAAAACTGCCAAGGTGGAGACGAAACTCCCACAAAGAGACTGGCGAAACTATCGAGGTGGAAACGGAACTCCCATAAAGAGACTGCCGAGGTGGAGACGAAACTCCAACAAAAAAAAGACTGGCGAGACGGAACTCCCACAAAGAAATTAGTAAAACTACCAAGATCAAAAACGATAACACAAAAAAAGATGACCGAGAAAGAGGGAAAAGAAACAACAGGAGAGAAAAAAAAATTTGTGAACTAAGAACAAAACAAATAAACTCATAAAGTTCAAGGAGGATACCAAGGTGTAATCTCCATCAGAAAAAAATGGAAAGAACCTAAGCTCTTGATATCATGTTAGAAAGGGTGAGAGAATACATAATAAAAAAGAATTTATGTATGAAATTACATAAGAGTTGTGTATATCATAGTATAATGCACTAACTTAATTATAAATGAAGAGAGAATCAGAATAATAATAACCTAATATTCTATAATTATAAAAAATATCAAACTAATAAATTCAAATATTATAACTGATACTAATTGATCCTAATATATTTTAACATATTTTAATATTTATTTTATATATCCAATAGATTTAGTGGCTGATTTTATTAAAATATAAACCTAGCATTTAGTAGGGTTTTTTTTTTGTTCTGAAACAGGTACCATATGGTGCTATGCTGAAAAGAATAAAAATAAAAAGATAAAGATTTTTTTTTTTGATAAATGGTTAAATTTTCATCATATAAAATATTTTATTTCATGTTTTATTAATTTTTAAAATAAAAATGATACCGCTCTTCATTCTATGGAAAATAAAATCTATTCGTCGTAGAATTATCCACCTTACAAATAGTTTTGATCAGAGGGAGTCCTGCCTGCCAATGGCTGCCATACTAGTTTTTACTTTTTCAGCAGTGGTTCTGTTTGTGAAGAAATATAGGAAATTAAATCTTGTATTATTTATTATAAATTTAAAATATCAAAATGATAAATTAAGTATTTATCCTTATCCACAAGAAAATTAAAAATTTAAGAGCCGACATGGTCAAGCACTGCATGCTTTTACTTTATTAAAATAACTTATCAAATCTATTTTTAAAAGATAATTTTTTAAAATTTTAGTACTTATGTTTGATCTATATTCAAATTGTCTCAAAAGAATTTTTATTAGTAAGAACATCCTAAACAATTACCATCATTAAACAAATTCGTATTGCATTGTTTTTAATCAAATTTTTAATACGCATGTTGGACAAATAACTAGAAAATTTTAAACATATATCTATTTTATCAATCAAGTTCAATTAAGTCAATTATTTTTATGATAAATAAAAGACATTTTTTTATGTCAAATATAAAATTATTTATGTGCTAATTTTTGTGTTATTTGATATTAAAATATTTTTTTATTATGTATAGAAATTAATGACTTGATTGAATTTGATTAGATAAAATAGGTGTATATTTAATATTACCGAACAAATAAATACCTAAATATTTTATTATAAGACAGTTAGCCATTCTACAAAAATATCCCTCTAAGATAAATTAGTCTCTTTTTAAACCAACAAAAGAACTAATTTGTCCGACGAAAATAATTCTCAAAAATTTGTATTGAATAAAAATTTGTTAAGGACTATAATATCCAATCGACAATTAATTTGGATATTCACCCTAAATTAAAAAATAATTTTTAATAAGCACAAAAATAATAATTATATTTATTAAAATAATTTTTAAAATTTTAAAACACTAGAATATAGACATGAATAAAATAATAAATATGTCAAAAAAAAATAAAATAATAAATGTAAACATTTATTAATCTACGATACTATATCAGAAAATTTTATTTCTTTTACAAAGCTCAAGCAGATTTTCAGATCAAACTAGTCCTTAGTTTTAGGGAAAAGGTTTTTTTTTTTTTTTTTTTCTATTTTGTATTTTTGTTTGAGACGGTGCCATGGCTTAGGTTGTCGTTTCTGTTTACGTGCATGCTGATTGTTTGAATTCATTTATTAGCTTTGCATACGTAAGAATTCTCAACTAACCCACCCAAAGAGAAAGAGAAAATATATTGTAGGATACACATACATTAGGTAAGTTTAGCTTTAATTTTTGTATTTTGTTTTCTTTTTAGAATTTATTATTAGGTGTTGGTATTAGATTGCGGCTGGAATGAAGATCATAACTTTGGGACATAAGAGATACCGTGATATCCCTTATTGCACTATATTCACAACTGCTTCCTGCCAATAAGCCACAACTTTTTCATTTTTCTTTTTATTACTTTTTAAATATTTTATCTCTTGTTTCTTCAATTCAACCACTCTTTGATCAAATGGACGTAACTTTTTTCATTTTTTAATTAATTTGTTCTCCTCATTTACTTCATGACATACACTACATTGTTATTTAGTACGTAGGAGTAAGTAGTAACATATATTAGAATTTAATATTGTTCACTAATGTATGTTAAGAATAAAAGGTCTTTATTTTCGCTGATTTTTATCCTGTGCAATATGGTGCATGCGCTCTATCACTTTTTATGCATTATTTGATACAAAAAATTGTATAGATTATATATGGTAGATCACTTTTATTTATTATTAATTACTTTAGGAGTATATTCTTATCTATTCAAAATTTTTCGTGTATATTTTTATCTATTTACTCTTTAACATTCATATATATTGAAGGATTTGTTGGAATGTAAAGTCACTCAAACAACAAATTTGTTAGATGATTATTACCTAATAGATCTCTTGATCAATTATATAACTTCATACAAAAACAAGTATATAGATGTTTAATTGATCTCCATCTTCTTCTTAGTGTGAATTAAAAGCCGAAAATATTGATGTCATTGATAATTATATATTAACTAAAAAGTTAATAATCTCTTATATCCAATCCCCTACCCAGCAAGAAAAAAAAACCTTCGTCCTTTCTGAAACTTTTGTTGTTAAATAATTATATTATGTGGGGGCTATATCTTATTATAGGAAGCATCTCAAATGTTCCATGATTTACGATAATCCAATAATTTTAATCGTTGATTTTAATTATAAAATAATTTTAAAATGTATACATATTAAAATAAATAGTTAAAATCATTATTAAATTACCATAAACCAGCTACACCTAAAATGTTTCCTATATTATGATGATACCCAAAGCTTAAAGTTTGGATACAGTTCATGTTGGTGGAACCTTGTTAAGCTAAGGGGCCTCGAACCCAAAAAACAATATCTTTTTATGAAGATTTGGTTTTCTAAGTTACATTTGCAACACTTTTAAAAAATAACACTTTTATAATATATTATAATTTAATTATTTAAT